GTTTTTTCGCTATAGGGCATATGTGCTCACCGAAGAGACAGAGACAGAGAGAGAGAGAGAGAGAGAGAGAGACAGGAAGAAATCATCCCCCAGGGGAATGGCTGTGCCACAACCCCTTCTCCATTCTCCTCTTGGGATTTTGGGCACGCATGCACACATATGAGTTTTAAGCCCACTGGGTCTAGGACTCGAACGACGGTCAATTACTGCGAGTACAGCAACATAATCATTACGCCATTTGCTCGTCCCATCCCCTACTTTAAAGACGTACTCCAGATTAAGAACATATTACTCCTAAGATTTTTTAGTTCTGTATCAACTCTAGATTACTTCTCTCCTCATTTAAAAAACAAACAAACAAACAAACAAACAAAAAAAAAACAGGCATAGTGATGTGACTGAAAGCAACAGAATCCAGAGACAGCAAGACTCCATCTAAAAAAAAGACAAACATAAAAGCAAAAAAAAAAAAAAAAACATATTCTGTCATAGACCAACCCAGGAAGAAAACATCCACAACTTGCCTGGGTAAACAGTAGGCCAGTAAAGGGTAAGGGAAGCTGGAGTTAAGATCAAAGCTATGTGGAAATGTGTAGTTTTGCCCTTAATAATCGGCTTCTATTTCTCACTTTCTGTCTCCAGCAAACAAACGTGCCCTCAAGCAAAAATTTAAACTAAATGAAATTTTAAAAATAACAATTGACTTCTCAGCCTTAAAAGCCTCCTGGAGAAGAGCAGTAACTGCAGGAAAGCATCTATCAAGAAAGGAATAGTGGGACCAACAGTTAGCGTAATGGCTATGTCGCTGAACTCCCATGTAGTCGACCTGGTGGCTTAAACTGGACCTGGTGGCTTAAACTCACGCCTTGCGCATGTGCGTGCGTGCCCAAGATCCCGAAAGGATAATGGAGGAGAAGAGATTGCGGCATGGCAGGAAAGATTACTCTGAGGTTTTGTTTGTTCTAAGCCTGAGTGAAAGTTTGTTTTCAGACTCTGGGTATAGTAATGTAAAGGAAAGCTAAACCAAGGGCTCTGGAGGACAAAAGACCTGAGTTCTAATTAAGCTACACTTTAATGGCACCAAAATAGAGACCTATGACCTTAAGCGATCTATTGTACTTACCGACTCTAAGCCTCGGTTTTCTCATTTGTAAAGCGGACTTACAGGCAGAACTGGACAGATGCATGCGAGATACTTTTATTGTACCATCAGATCCTCCTCAGTACCTTACGGGATGGCCTTTGATGGCTTGGGCATGGGCCACGGTTTGACTCTGGACTAGTTCCCTTCCCTGTCTGAGGCTTGAAGTCCCCAAGGTACGGTCTGCAGAAGGACACTAAGGGTCACTGGTCCTACTTTGTGCAAGAGGCCACAGAGGCTCCGTGAGCCATAGAACTCCGCTCGGAGACAACTGGCGGGGTGACCGCACGGCATGACCCGGGAGGGCGGGACTTACCTGGCGGAGCGTGCGAGTCGCGCGGCTCACATTCCCGGAGGCACCCGGCCCGGGGGCTCGACGAGGGGGCTGGCCCGCGCACTTGCGCTCCCCGCGGTCGGCGAGAAGCGGCTCCAGTCGTGACAGAGGCAACAAGGAAGTGGAGGCGAGGGCTCGCGCGCGCATCCCGGGGCCTGGAGGAGCCCCGGCCCCGCGGCCCCGCCCGGCGACACACGGCGCGGAGTCGCGACAGCCCCTCTCGCTCCCCCTCCTGGGAGTCGCGATATGGGGTCGTGAAGGGCGAGCGTAGGTGCACAGGTTCGCTCCGCAGGCTTTTCACCGACGCTTGCCGAAGGCCCCGGGGGTCAAGCCCCGGGGAGCCCGAGGAGGACAGCAGGGACACGGGCGTCGCCGCGGGACTAGCTTGGCCGCGGGGCAGCAGCTGCGCGCCGCCGATCGCCAGGGAGACCCTTCCCGGCGGCCCTCGCGGCGCACCGGAAGCGGCCGGCGGCGCGTGACTGCGTGCGACCATTCGCGCATGCGCAGGAGTTCAACCTAGCTGCCGGGCGGACCCGTAGGAACTACTTGGAGACTCGGAGTGGGCTGCTAAGGCAGACGGACAGCTTCCGGCCAGAGGTCCTGGGCGGAGAAGGAAGCCGTGGCTGCCGGTCGTAGGATGCCCTGGGTTGTACTGTGGGGCGTTCCGGTAACCGGGGCGAGGCAGTGCTGAGCCAGAGGGGTCAGGCCCACCCCCGCCACGTGGGGCACTAGGGAGCCAAGAGGAACACTCTCAGCGCGGCGTTCGAGACCTGGTCCCAGTTTGTCCCCGCTCAATCTGCGCAGGACTCATGCTTCGTGTCACACCAGACTCCTTCCTCGCTCTAGTGATGTAGCTTGACTCCGTCTGTTCCTCTCACGAATAGTAGTGATTCCTGAAGTGACTCGAGCTGAACTGAATGACCGTGTGGCGGGCGAGGTTCTGGAAATTTGATAGGGATGTGTTATCACAGATTGTCCCGCAGTTACACACAAGTACCTGAACAGCCATCACTGTCTTGTAGACGTATTTCCAGTCTACCTACTTCTTCCATCTACCACTGTCACCAACCCTGTAGCCACTGCCCTCCGCCTGGACTGACAGTAGATCATGGTGCGTGCCACCTACTGAGATGGGCTCACAACAGAAATCTGACAGTTGTCCTTGATTCCTTCTTCACCTCACACCCAGTCCATCAGCAAGGCCTGTAAACGCATAGCCTCAAACTGACTACTTCTTGCCATCTACCCTGTTTATACTCCAGTCTGCCCCACCATCATCTGCCTGGGTTCTTGAATTTTCTCTGACACACTTCAGTTGATTCTTTTTTTAAAAAAAATTTATTCCTTCATTTATTTAAATTTGACCAGAGAGAGACACACAGACAGAAGGAGAGAGAGAAAGAGAAAGTGAGAAAGCAAGCCACCAGGTCCAGGACTTGAACCGTGGTTGGCCATGTGGGAATACCCAGCACCTTAACCACCGCCACCTGCTGGTCCCTCAGTTGATTCTTCAGAGAGCAGTCAGATAGCTTACACTCATTCCCATTTCATAGCTTCCTGTTGCTCTCAGATTAACATCCAATGAATATGGTCTGCAGATTTAGGGCCACCTCTTAGGAAATGGGCTTTACCCCTTAGGTTTCCCACTCTGCAACCAAAGGGCTCTTCCTAAAGTGCAAATCTAATCCTTTCATTTCAAACAAAACAAAAACAACCCCCAAATGCTTTCTATTGTCTCAAGGTCAAGCTAGAAACTTAACTAGTCTTTTCTGTGATTTGGTCCTTGTTTTCTTCTCCAAAAACTTGTATCTTAACAGTTATTTTCTGTAGTACTTACTGCATTTACACGTACGTATTTCCTTCATCTCATGAATTTCTGTTTGTATATTCTTTAGAGCCCAGTGTAAATACCTTTTCCTCTTTGAAGTACACTGCTCACCCGTGCCCCCATCCCAGTTGATTATCCCTTTTCTGTTCCCATAGTGCCCTGTAACCTCTGCTAAGGTATTTCCCACACTCAAGTGTCTTTCCTGCTTCCCTGGTAAACTCCTCAGTGGTGGCGCTTACCCTTTCTGTAATGCATCATCCATTTCTGCCTGGCTGGCATTGAGTACAGTGCTTGACACGTGGAAGATACCATGAATGGATGAACAGAAGTATGGAGATGGTGGTAAAATCTGCCCTTGGGAGGAGGCAGCCACAGCACAAGGTCATAGCAGCTTCTCTTGTCCTTTGAGAGCTCATGATAAAATCCGTAAGCAGGCAGCTTCCAGGACTACTGCTACTGGATTGTGTTTTGTTTGACCATCCTTGAGGAAGGGGGAAATGTTTTAAATTCTTTTTTTTGTTTTTCCAGTTGTCAAAGTGCACGTGCACTCATAAGACAGACAGAGGGAAAAGGAGAAAGCACCCCACAATGGGGTATGGTCATGCCACAATCCCTTCTCCGTTTCTCCATCCTTTTGGGACTTCTGAGCACATATGCACACACATGTGTAAGGCATGTTTTTCAAGCCACTGGGCAGGGATTCAAAATGTCTTTGGCCATGTGGGATTCAGCGGTCCTAACCAGTAGGCTGTGGAGCTGGCCTGTTTTAGACTCTTAGCAGCTTTAAACAGGGCACACAGGCCTCAACACTCCAGATATTCCTGTTTCACTCCCTTATGCCACCATCCTGGTCCCCTAAGGCATGTGAGTTTGGGTCTAATACTTAAATCTGGAAGGAACTGATGGATCACCTGGTCCTCAAGTTTGTAACCATGAGACATGTCAGAGTACTCTCAGAGCTTTCCAAAAATATGTTTCTTCCTAGACATCCTCATTCATCCTAGGTTGGGCCTGGATATGCTCTCCCTGGTTGAATCTAACTCTTTCCTTTTAAAATGGGAAAACAAGCTCTGAGAGGGACTGTACTATAACCTGCCCATTACTTCAGCTATCATCTCTCATTCAGATTACCAGCAACAGCATCTTAATATCCTACCTAGTCTTTCTTCCTCTTTGATACATCTTTCATAAAACAGTCAGAGTGAGCCTTTCTAAGTGAAAACAGGCCCAGCCATGCTGGTGCACACAGCTAAGACACTGCTCCAAAGGCTGGAAGCACATGGGAGGCTCAGGTCCAACTTCTGGTCCAGCCTAAAAGAACTGGTACAGTGACATGTGCTTATAATCCCAGCGACTCAGAGACACTGAGGCAGGAGGAGCACAAGCTTGGAGCTGGCCTGGGCAACATAGTAAAATATCGTTTCGAAAATAAATTAGTAAGGGACCAGCAAGTGATATAATGGTTATATCACTGGACTCCCACGTGGTTGACAGGTTTGAGTCCTGGACCTGGTGGCTTGAACTCATGCCAGACACATGTGCATGAGTGCCCACAATCCTGAGACAAGAATGGAGAAGAGATTGGGGCACGGCTGACCCTCCCGGGGTGAATGTGTGTGTGTGTGTGTGTGTGTGTGTGTGTGTGTGTGTGTGATTTCACTCTTTCTGTCTCTCTGTTTCTCTCTGTCTCTAGCACACACACCCTATAGCAAAAATCTCTCTTTAAAAAATAAATAAGTGAAATTTTAAAAATAAAACCAGATCATAAACCTTACTTGCCTGAAAACCTTCAGTGAATTTCTTTTGTACTCAGAAAGTATCAGCTCCTTACTGTAGCATCTTCCTTCTGGCTCTCCTCCTTTGTCATACTTCAGTAATACAAATCTTTCAGTCTTTTTTTTTTCTTTCTTTCCTTTTTTGGAGAGGTTTTTGCTATAGGGCGTGTGTGCTTGCCAGACAGAGAGAGAGAGACAGAGAGATAGAAAGCGAGAAATCACCCCCCAGAGGGGATGGCCATGCCGCAATCCCATCTCCTCCATTCTCCTCTCGGGATCTTGGGCACACACGCACACATGCCCGGCGTGAGTTTAAGCCATTGGGTCTGGGACTCAAACTGTGGTCAACTATGTGGGAGTCCAGCAACATAGCCATTACGCTAACTGCTGGTTCCAATCTTTCAGTCTTCTGAATGCCTCAAGCTCTTCCTTGCTTCTGAGATTTTTGTTGATACTATGTCCTTTGCTGGACTACCCTTTCCTTCTCTTCATGGTGCTCTCAGCTTAAATGCCATCTTCTCAGTGAGGCCTTCCCAACCCCCCTTTGTAAATAGATCCCTTTCTTTATTCCACATCATGGTCTTTGCTTATTTTCTTTATAGCATATATCACACTCTATAATTATATTATTTTTTTGTTTTACTTTTGTTTACCCCCCCCCACACACACACACATTCTATATTTGTTAAAGGCAAGGACCTTAACTCTGTTGCTCACTATTGTAACCTTACCATTAGGTACCTGTAAATATTCATCAAATTAATGTGTGGTTACCAGAAACATTGTCCAACAGTGAAAATCTTTGAAGGCTTTGAAGATCTCATTTTGGTGAAGTTTCAAGCACATCATGGTGTGGCAGAAATAACACTGATCTGAGTCAAGAAACCTAAGGGGTATGAACCTAGGTAGGCTTCTTCTCTAGGCCTCAGTTTTTGTATCCATAAAACAAACTGGACAATAACTCTTTGAATTTATACAGTGCATTGCTATTTTTAAAGTTCTTTTTTGTCACCTCTTACTTTGATCTATTATAACAGGTAGAGCAGACATCATTGTTTCCATTTTTACAGAGGCTTAGGAAGTTTTAAGTGTTAATAAATTAGATTTTCTGTAAGATTCGCTTCTGTTTCAAACATTCTATTAGTCCATATAGGTAGTTTCTGCAAAAGATCAATAGCCTGAATATTTTTCTTGGCTTTGGCCTTACCGTTCTTAGTATGATATTTTAAAAGTCTGAACCTATCTTACAGGGGGAAATCCACTATCGGTTCCTGATAGGTACTCCATTTTGTCTTCTCAGTTTTCCACACTTGTGGTAAAGCAAGCCAAGAGGAGAAACAGATGCAGGCCTATTAGGTGTGGTCTGTCCCTCATACCCTGGAAATGGCAAATGAGGGGAACTAGAAACATCGCAGTTCTCCCTAGAAGAGAAGATGAAAGTTGTGGAAGTTGTAGACTTAGGCAAAAAGAAAGGCGATGTTGCAAAAGAATTTGGTATCACTCCTCCTACTTTGTCTATGTTCTTAAAGAATCGGACCAAATTTGAAGAAAAGGTGCAGGAGGCATCTGTGGGACCCTGGCAGAAAAGGTTAAGGAGTGCTCTTTATGATGACATTGTTAAGGCTGTTTTTGTTTGGTTTCAAGAAATCCATGCCAAAAACATTCTTGTGACTAGTTCTGTCATTCAAGCACTAAACTTGGCCAACGTGCTAAGCTATGACAATTTTCAAGCAAGTATGGGCTAGATAAACAGATTTAGAGATCGCCATGCAATTGCTTTGAAAGCAATCTGTAGAGAGGATAGTGACATGTTAATGAATGGTCTAGGGATAGATAAGGTTAATGAGTGGCATGCAGGGGAATTTATAAAACTGATTGCTGACTATAGCCCAGAAGATATCTTTAATACTAATGAGACAGGAGTGTTTTTCCAGTTGCTTCCCCAGCACACACTTGCTGCTAAAAGGAATCATTGTAGAGGAGGTAAGAAAGCAAAGCAGCAGTTGACAGCACTCTTTTGTTGCAATGCTTCAGGGACTGAAAAAATGAGACCATTGATTGTTGGTAGGTCAGCCAACCCACACTGCCTCAGGAACGTCCATTCCCTCCCTCATGATTGCCAAGCCATTGGGCGTGGATGACAAGGGATCTGTTTAATGAGTGGTTGCTGTAAGTGGATGGATGAAGCAAGCAGAACACCAATCCTCCTGCTCATCAACAACTGCCCTGCTCACAATATGCTTCCCCACTTGGAAAGGATTCAGGTGGCGTATCTGTCCACAAACTGTACTGCTGTCCTGCAACCACTGAACCTTGGCGTAATTCATACCATGAAAGTGCTGTACAGGAGCCGTCTTCTCACCTCCTCCAGCTCAACAGCGAGGATCAAGAGAAGGTGAACATCCAGCATGCCATGGACATGATTGCAACAGCATGGTGGTCAGTCAAGCCATCCACAGTGGTGAGATGTTGGCAGAAGGCAGGCATCATCCCTGTGGAACTTACAGATTCTGACACAGCAGCAGTAGATGGTGGACCAGACATTGCCCTCAAAAAGTTGTGGCACTCAGTGGCTGTTAGCACCTGTGTCCCCAGTGAAGTAAATTTCCACGACTTTGACACTGCAGATGATGATCTCGTCATCTCCCCAGAGCTGATTGACACAGAGATCATCCAGGGCATGATGCCTGATGAAAATACTGCTGAAGCTGGACGTGACAATGAAGAGGAGCTATCTTTACCAGAGCAGCCCCAAATCACAATTATAGAGGCCATCTCAAGTGTACAGAAACTTAGACAGTTCCTTTCCACTTGCATAGATGTTCCTGATGCCATTTTTAGACAGCTAAATGGCATAGATGAATATTTAATGAAAAGATTAACACAAACTCTTGTTGATTCCAAAATTATGGATTTCTTCTAAACAAAATAATGTGGGACCTAACTGCCTCTTTTACTTTAGAAAATGCATTTTATAAAAAATAAAGATGTCTTTAGATAGGAGATTAAAATTGAAGAAAAGCAATATTTTTATAATAATATTCCAGTACTCTAAAATAATCAGGAGACCTCCATGAATGGAAGATGGAAAAGAAGTAAGATTAATAAGTGTGTTCTCATTGGGTTAATCCAATAGTTTTCAAAACTCATCTGCACATTAAGATCACTTGAGAATCTTTTAAAAATTCCAAAGCTCATATCATATCCCCGACCAATGAAATCACAATCTCTGGTGATGGTATTAGTAATTTCTTTTTGTTTGTTTGTTTGTTTTAAAAGCCTTTAATCATTTTTGATCAGAGAAAAGGACAATTTCAATGTCAACTTGTCACCACATCATAAATTTGAACTCAATAGGATTTACTACCCTAGACACTGACTTCACAAAATAAAATGATCTCCTGTCCACTCTCCAAGGTTTGCATATGGAAGAATAAACAATCCCTTGCAATAGCCAACACTGGTACTTGGCCTAGGTGTACATTACATAGCAAAATAAGAGCCAAACAAGGCCAAGAGCATTGTTACTTGATAGCTCAGCAAGTACAAATATCATTGGAACAGTTACAGGCACACACACACACACACACACACACACACACACACACACAAAGAAAAAAAGAAAGAAAAAAGAAAAAAAGCAAGCAGGTTCATTAGCATTAAACAATTTACAGCCTTAAAAGCCTATGCCAATCCAGTAGCTATCTAGGATCAACAGAAACCAACTTCCCTAAATCCAACTACACTTAATAAAAAACTCAAAGTTGGAGGAAGTCCTCTAAAACAGACATAAATTGACCTTTCAGTGCACCAGATGTGCTAAAATGACATGATTTAGTCACACTTAAATCAACATTTATACCCTTAAGACTCAAGAATATCTTGTCCACTATTCCTTCCTATGTCTGAATACGGAAATGCTTAACTACTCAGCTCATCATGCACTAACTGCATTAAAAATGAGATCAGTTGTGAGTTTTTCTAATTCATACCACAAAACTCTACAGCCTAAAGTCCATATATAAAACACTTTCTTCAGTCTGATGGCTGTGACATTATCAAAAGAATGCAACTAAATTATCATCACTAGCTTGTTTTAATCTAATACTTGCCTGCGAAAATCCTTGCAACTGTTTTTAATGCTCTTAAACCATTAGCTCCTACCACACAGCTTTACAGTACTCTTTTATCTGAAGATTCGTACCAAGACAAACTCATGTTATCAGAGAAAGCTTTTTCTAGCAGACCAGACTTACTCTGAAAACAACGAGCAAATCATAAGTGGCTTACCAGAAATAGGAAGAAAGCAAAATATGCTACACCATGGTGGTGGTAAAAAGCCATTTTTCTTAAAAAACATAATCCAGAAGATTACATGGTCTACTAGAAAGATTCCACTAATCACAATATTATGATCTAGTTTCATGACCAAGCCTCCAGATATCCAGTAGGGAAAGGAAAGAACATCAAAATGTGGTGGTAGCCTCAGTTAGCAGGGAGACAAAGCCTTAACATAGAATACATCTACAGAAATGGGTAATAGGGTAAACACCATGGCTGGCTATTTATGAAGGAGTGCAGTTTCTCCCTGTGGACCAAATACTCCCTACAAAATAAACTGTGCCTCAATTATTGCTTATTAAAGGTTACATTTTTTACAGAGCTATGTAGTACCTGACACACAACAATCACATAAGGAAGCATTTATTTGAGGTTTAACATGAAATCATACAAATAAAATTTGTATAAACACAAAATCCACATTGAGTCATAACACAGATAGCGAAGGACAAAGTAAAAACTAATTGGTGGCTATATACAGTTGGACACAGTTTGTGTCATGTACACTATAAAGTCTTACAAAATAATCATCTTAGATCGACAGAAGGACCAATCTTCAATGTCATCCTGCAAGATGGGTTACTTTAACATCTCCTCTGGCTGATAATTGTTTTGGTGATTGCCCCCCCCTCGAGAGGCCTTGCCATAAGTACTCTGTTGGCCACCGAAGTCTGCATATCCCTGTCCATATCCACAGTTCCCATAGTTATACCCAGTATAATCATATCTGCCATAGACACTATAGCTTTGATCACCACCATTGGCACTATTGTAATTTCCATATCCTTGATCATAACAGTTAGTAAATCCCTGGTTCCAGTTCTGGCCCTGACCTTGGCCACGACCCCTAGTACCACCTCTTCCACCAGCCACAGCACCTCTTCCTCCTTTTTGTTGCTGTTGCCTATATACCTCTTAGGGTTGTGCAACCTTGATTTCACACTTCCCAGAACCAATTTGATGGTATCTGCTTTCTACTAATTTCTTTACTGGTTCTTCATCTGTGTATGTGGTAAAACAAAATCTTCTTCTGCCATTTGTTTTTGCATTCATGGGAAGTTCAGTGTTTTTAATCTCTCCAAAGGCTCCAAAATATTCTTTGATTTGTTCTTCAAATCAAAGTATCTGGGCTCAGTGCACTCACAAAAACCTTTTTGGGAGGTTCTTTCCCTTTTAAAGCTTTGGTCCCTTTGGGGCCTATCAACTTGCCATCCAGTTTGTGTTCTTTTAGTTCCAAAGCCTTATCAACACTAGCAGCATCTTTGAAAAAACAAATATAAATCCTCTTGATCTTCCAGTGACTGGATCTGTTTTAATTGTGCAGTCCACAACTTCTCCACATCGAGACAAATATTCAGTCAGATCTTTCTTGCTTGTATCTCAGCTCAAGCCTCCAATAAACATTTTACCATCAACCTGCTGATTCTTGCTGGCGTTGATCTTGGATCCCTCCGCGAATTCCTCAATGTTGTACTCATTCAGGTCCTCCATGGCGGCGGAACTGTCGGCACCGAGATGCTGGCGCGCAGTTCGTGTCGCGGTAGCAGCGGCGGAGTGTTGTATGGAACTGGATTTAAAACCGGTATTAGGAATTTCTTTTTCAGTTTACCAGAGGGCATGTGCACAAGGCAGAGAGAGAAAGCGAGAAAGCACCACCATGGAGAGTGGTCATGCCTCAATCCTTTTTTCTCTGTTCCTTCCTCCTTTTCGGAATTTAGGTACACACATACACATGCCTGGTATGTTTCTCAGGCCACCAGGTCTGGGACTCCCACTGCGCTGTCAGCCATGTGGGCTCCAGCTCACATAACCACCACGCCACAGGCTGGCCTGTATTAGTAGTTTTGAAGATCCCCAAGTGATTCCAGTGTGCAGCCAAGTTTGGAAAAGAGTGGATTAACCAGGAGAAAATCAAGTTGCTATGGGCCTAGACCCAACTTCACAGTAAGTCTAATTCAATGGTTTTTATATTTTAGTTGATATCAGAATCAGTTGGATGATTTGTAAAAACCCAAGACTATTGGGTTCCACCCAGAGTTTCTGATTCAGTAGCTCTCAGGTAGGATTCAAGAATTTGCATTTTGGGGACCAGCAGGTGGAGTGGTGGTTAAGGTGCTGGACACTCCCACGTGGCTGACCACGGCTCAAGTCCTGGACCTGGTGGCTTTCTCTCTCTCTCTCTCTCTCTCTTTCTGGTAAAATTAAAAAAAAACCAAATTAATGAATAAATAAAAAATAAAATAATTCTTAAAGAAAAAGAATTTGCATTTCCAATACCTTCCATGCTGCTGCTAATGTGTGTGTTTAAACTTGCCTCAAACATAATAATAATAGAAGGAAATCTAATATTCCTGATTCATTTGGTATGTTATGATTTAAATTCTGGGAGTCAGAAATCAAATTCAAAAAAAGAAAGCTTTTTGCAGTCTAGCTGACATTAGTTAAACCTTTGAATCTATTTGACATGAGGGTACTTTTTGGAACAAAGGTTAATATCCCTTGTTGGTCTTCTCTAATCAGGCCTTTTGTGGCTTCTCCTCACCTCCCTGGTCACTCCAGCTGCATTTGAGTGGCAATCCCACTTTTGCCCCTGTTAACGAGTCCTCTCCATAGGTCTGCACCCTATGGGCCTAGGTACTTACCTCAGCTGTGTGGTCAGAGGATACGAAGATGTGCCTGGCAGAGTAAGTGTTCTCTGAGTGCTGTCTGTTCTCATTACTATCCATCTCCATATGGAACTTAACCAGTACTATTGCAGTTCGTGTCGCGGTAGCAGTGGCGGAGTGTTGTATGGAACTGGATTTAAAGCCGGTATTAGGAATTTCTCTTTCAGTTTACCAGAGGGCATGTGCACAAGGCAGAGAGAGAGAGAAAGCGAGAAAGCACCACCATGGAGAGTGGTCATGCCTCAATCCTTTTTTCTCTGTTCCTTCCTCCTTTTCGGAATTTAGGTACACACATACACATGCCTGGTATGTTTCTCAGGCCACCAGGTCTGGGACTCCCACTGCGCTGTCAGCCATGTGGGCTCCAGCTCACATAACCACCACGCCACAGGCTGGCCTGTATTAGTAGTTTTGAAGATCCCCAAGTGATTCCAGTGTGCAGCCAAGTTTGGAAAAGAGTGGATTAACCAGGAGAAAATCAAGTTGCTATGGGCCTAGACCCAACTTCACAGTAAGTCTAATTCAATGGTTTTTATATTTTAGTTGATATCAGAATCAGTTGGATGATTTGTAAAAACCCAAGACTATTGGGTTCCACCCAGAGTTTCTGATTCAGTAGCTCTCAGGTAGGATTCAAGAATTTGCATTTTGGGGACCAGCAGGTGGAGTGGTGGTTAAGGTGCTGGACACTCCCACGTGGCTGACCACGGCTCAAGTCCTTGACCCTGTGGCTTTCTCTCTCTCTCTCTCTCTCTCTTTCTGGTAAAATTAAAAAAAAAACAAATTAATGAATAAATAAAAAATAAAATAATTCTTAAAGAAAAAGAATTTGCATTTCCAATACCTTCCATGCTGCTGCTAATGTGTGTGTTTAAACTTGCCTCAAACATAATAATAATAAAAGGAAATCTAATAT